TGTCTCCAAGGGCACAAGGTACACCAAGACCAGGAGGGTCTTGGTCTTTGCTGCAGCAGCCAGTTGGAGGAGAGAGGGGGCTGAGATCTTAATCAGCCCCCAGCAACACTTCTGCAGATGTGTAGATGTAGGGTCTGTTGTGTGAGCAGGCCCTCTCCACTGTAGAGCAGCCCCCTAAGCAGGGGGGTCTTCAGCCATGTGGCCGTGGAGATGGCCACGTGCACAGGCAGCAACAGCCACGGGGGGGGTGGGGTGGGGTAAATAGCAACTTCGCTGCTGCGCACTGCTCGCTGCCGGGGGGGGGTTAAATAGCCAGCACGGCACCTCTTCAGCACGAGTGTGCCGTGCTACAAAGCCATGGACACACTGTGGCGAGTGTGTTATGAGGCTGCTTACGCATGCGCATGACTCGGCAAGTGTCTGGGTTCAAACCCCAGCAGCAGTAGTTGCATCCCGGATCTTAATAATATAAATCCGGGAGCGGGGCGGGGCGGGGCAGCGTGGGCGCGCGCGCGCGTGCGGAGGTCTTCGCCTTGGCGCTTGCGCGCACGCGTCGTGATGCRGCTTCCTTTTTCGCCACGTGGAGCTCTCCTGCTGCAGCACCTTTTTTCGTTGTTTTTTCCGCTTTTTCCCGTTTTTTTGCCCGAAAACGCCCCAAAAACAGCCGAAAACCCGACTGTCGGGTTTTGCCATATTTCGCTGCTGTGCGGTGTGGTGGGTGGGGGCAGGGACCGTTCCCGCTCCAATACCAATGTGGCGGACCCACCAGGTGTGGTGCTCCGCTAGTGACAGAGATGGAGATGGAGGAAGAAGGGGGAGCAAGATGGCACAACGCAGCTCCCCACGCAAGACTCCAATGCACGTACTCCAAAATGTGCAAGTGAGGAATGAGCCTGAAAACAGACAATGGCTGGGGTATACCCCAGTGGACTGACGGGACTGGACTGGACTGGCTGGTATCGACAGAGGTACCGGCCTGGACTAGCCTACCCCGAATATAACACAGGCCTGTGAGAACAGGCCAAGGGGCTTGGTCTCACAGGCCAACCCGAGGTCCGCTACAGTTACGAATACATTGGCGGGAAGTCATGCCAAGGAAAGTGGGTAGACCCAAATCCAAAGAAGAGGTACCGAGGCAACCCCCCTTGTTTGGTAATCCGTGGGTGAGAGATGAAAGTGATCACCAACTATCCCTGAAGCCTAGAGGAAAGAGATGGTTATCATGGATCAAACATGGAGTTTGATGAAAGTGAGCCATCTGTGGAACGAGGAGAAAAAGGAGTGGATGAAAGGCGAGGAACTTGCCTCCCAGCTCAAAGGATGTCACCGACGAGATGAGAACTTTCAATCTATTATCAATTGCATCCCAGTCCCAGAAGGCTGGAAGGAGTTGTTAAGCGAAGTCTCAACTTGGAAATCGGGTGAATGGGGGGAGTGAGGGTGCAGGAGGATTTAACCCCCACAAGGGCCTATCAATTCTCCCATAAGCAGCAAGGGTCGGATACCCTGGCAGTGTTTACCTCCTTCCCAATTACCCCCTCCACGCAAGGCCTTCCATTTACCATGAATACAGAGGTGGAAAGAACAGTTTTAAATCCTTTGGTACTCAGAAAGGTCAGAGTGCTGGGTTCGTGGCCGAAAACAATCTTCAGAATAGATATGGCGATTCAAGACTTGGAATTGGATCCAGCAGAGTGGGCTTGGACACCAGACCGAAGCAAAAGCCTCAAAACTAATGTCTCCTCTCAAGAATACACAATCAAGCTGGGTTACAACTTACTCCTCGAAACAAAGGATCCTGAACCAACGATCAAGAACAAATGGCAGAAGCTAATAGGTCAAGACGCTAGTCAGATCCCACAAATACTATGGAAAAAAAATAAAGTCAATTCGTCCAGTTAAAATAAGAAGCCTACAATGGCTCATCTCATACGTAGCTCTATCGGTCAACCAGTGGTTGCATATCAGAAGAAGCAAAATTAACCCTAACAGTTCAGATTTATGCGCGGTATGTTCAGAAAATGAACCAGAAGATATGCTACATTGCCTGATACGCTGTAGAGAGGCGACCGAATACTGAGCGAGGGCCTCGGATCTCTGGGATTCCCTCTTCTCGTCTCCCCTCTCTGAACATCCCATCCAACTCCTTCTATGGACTAACATCCCATCTCAATTCCACAAGAAACAGAAACCGTGAGTCAGAATGATCAGAAAGGTGTTATGATCTTGGTTGTCTGACAATTTTTACCGCCACTCACACACAGACAATCTCATACACTCCCATACATGCATAAGAGAAGGGGGAGAGGAGACAGAGTCCACACTACACACAGATCAGAGTAGGCAGCGGAATACAGCTATGCACAGATGGGGAGAAGACACACAGTGTTTCTCTCTCTCTGACAAACTCCCAACAACCAATCACAAGTAGAACCTGCGAGGATAACAATTGAAATTACACTGATGATGAGCCAACTCAAACAATTATCGTAACAGAGTTTGTTCCAGTATCTCGCCACTCTCATAACTCACACCCCCTATGTTACCGCGCGTTCATTGAACGCGCGTTTGGCGTTCATTTTTTGAACGCTTTGAACGCGCGTTCAATGAACGCCCCTGAACGCAGTTGACGCGTTTGCGCAGGGGTCTATCAGGGCTGGGGGGGTGCCTCTGAGGGCGCTGGAGTGTCGGCGGTGTTCAGGGGAGCCTCTCCGGAGGTTGTGGTCTCGACAAAAAAAAAA